TTTATCCTGCATATTAAATTTACTGATTATCTATGATCCAATATAATTCAGCTTCTGACCATCTGTTACAAAAAGCTTGGAAGCTTCATTATTAGGCAATTGTTTCATAATTATTCTGAGAACATGTAAAATGTAAATTTTCTCATTTAAATTATATTATAATTTATTGAAGAAGTTTTTAATCTACTTGGTTTTTACCTAATTGTTTTCAGCAAACATCTGCCGTGTATGAAAAGCTAAAAATATATATACAAAGCCTCATATGAATGAACCTTCTTCATAGTATTCAGTAAACACAGCAAATGTCCAGTAACAGTTGGTATCCACACAGAAAAACACACTAACCATATTGAATACCTTCTTCCAGCTGTTGAGGCAGAGATTTAGCCTAGGGAGCTGTTTGCAAATGTATTTGGCTATTTTACCATCTGGTATTTACTGACTCTGGGTGCAGTCCTGCTTCTAGTCATGCAATTTGTACAAATCAAGTCTATAGGAACTAATTCCAGAGGCATAGCTCGGATCAATTATGTTGGTCAAATGGTGAACATTTGAGGGTCTTTAAAGGAATCTGTAGATATGAACTTCTCGAGTTTAGCAGAAAGATTCAGATTCCTTTGAGAACTATTTTTCTGAAATTAAAATATGTTTGTCCTCCATTTTCCTCCAACATTTGCTCTGTAAATGGTACCATTCCCCATTTATTTAAAAGCAGTTTGAAAATGTCTTCTAATAAAATCTTCCTGTTAAGAGTCAGAAGCTAGGAAGTGAACTGCTGAAGAATGTGAAGAAAGACTGCACATTTAATCTAACCTGACTACAAATATGATGTTTTAGAAACCACCTCTAAAACAGGCGGTGGCTTAAGTGACTCAGAAAAAAAGTGAAATGTAAAAAGAACACAAAAAAGCCCCAAACAAATAAAATAAAACAGAACAAAACAAAACCCCAACCAACAACAAAAAAAAACAACATCAACCAACCAAAAATAACAAAAGGATAAGATCTATATAAGGGTATGTGAAATCCACTTCTCTCTAAGTATAATGCACATCTGAATATTTCAACATTTTCAGCTGCTGAAGATATTTCGGTTATACAAGATTTAGCAAGAAGAATGTAGAGGAAACAGACAAATGCTTGGGTAAAATAAGAAAGGCTAATATATTCCTGTAAGCAATGTGAGATGGATCTAAGTAGTTGACTTGGAGGGCAAACAGTACTTATAAATAAAATATAATTCATCGTGGAACTTTAAAAAGAAGCTAATTCAAAGCAATACTTAAGGTTGTTTTTTCTGAAACCGTTCAAGACAGTGAGCTGGCACATCCACTTGTATGTTAGACAAGTTCATTGGAAAGGTGGTAGAAAGCTGTTGAATACTGGAAGGAAGACTGGAAGCTAGAAATTTTATAATTTGGCAAATAGAAAAGGAAAACCAGTTTTTATTGTAGAATCAGGAAATAGGAACATTTGTAAGGAAATAGTGACAGAATTGTTTCTAAACATAATTTGACTAGTGCTAAATTATTTGCTAGTCATAGTCTTATGATTAGAGACTATTGAGAACAGAAAGAATGAATCACTATACTTCCCTGGTACCAATCTATAACACTACTGTCAAAACCAAAAGTGACTGGGAGAAAAATTCTGAGAAGTTCACATGACAACTTGGAGCTTGGAACTGTGGTATCCTGTGTTCACATACATAGGTAAAGTCATTGTACCCTTTATTTTCATCCTGAATGTATCAAGGTTTGTATATCAGGTTTAGTTCTTTAGTGCTACTACTTGCTAAATTTAGAGACATAAGCTACAATCTTTCCTACATTAGAGGTGCTTATGAGCTGTTGCACTGGGTCAGCATGGCCATGTTTTGTAGTGGGGGTGGGCTACAGGGGTGGCTTCTTCATTCCCCATGTCCAGCAGAGCCAATGCCAACCGGCTCCAGGACAGACCTGCTGTTGTCCAAGGCCAAGCCAATCAGGAATTATAGTAATACCTCTGTGATAACATACTTAAGAAGGAGAAAAAAGTTATTATGCAGATAAAATTGTGGCCAGAGAAGAGCGAAGTGAGAACATGTGAAAGTAACAACTATACAGACACCAAGGTCAGTGGACAAGGAGGGGGAAGAGGTGCTCCAGGCACCAGAGCTGAGATTCCCCAGCAGACTATGCAGATCATGGTGAGGTGGGATCTGTCCCTGCAGTCCATAGAGGTTAATGGGGGTGCAGACATCCACCTGCATCATCAAGGAGATCCATGCCAGAGTAGGTGGATGCCTGAAAGAGGGCTGTGAACCCATGGGAAACCTGTGCTGTAGCAAGGTCCTGGCAGGGACCTATGGACCCATGGAGAGAGGAGCCCACTCTGAAGCAGGTTTCCTGGTAGTCCTTGTGAACCTATGGGAGGCCCACATTGCAGCATTTCAGGGAAAACTGTTGGCCATTGGATGGACTCACATAGGAGAACTTAATGGAGGACTGTCTCCTTTGGGAGAGGAGGAACCCCATGCTGGAACAGGAGAAAGGCTCTTCTTGAGCAGTGGCAGGAACCACCTTTGATGAACTGACCGTAACCTCCACTCTCCATCTCCCTGCTCCACTGGAGTGCAGGAGGTTGAGCTACGGAAGGAGGGAGGGGTGGGATGAAAGTGTTTTTTAATATTTATTTTACATCTTATTATCCTGCTCTGATTTTGTTAGTAATAAATTCCAATAAATTCCCAAATTCGAGCCTGTTTTGCCCGTGACAGTACTTGCTGAGTGATCTCTCCCTGCCCTTATCTCAACTCATGAACCTTTTGTTATATTTTCTCTCCTCTGTCCAATTTTGGAGGGCAGTGATAGAGTGGTTTTGGTGGGAGCCTGGCATGCAGTGAGGGTCAACCCACTACAGCTGTAATCAAGACATAAATCTTGGTCATTTCTCTGTGTTAAACTAAAGTGTCTGAGTCTCTTAAATAGTTAGCATGGAGATATTTTCCCCACAACTATGGTTTCTCTACAGTTGCTTTTATTTCTGTAGCCTGAACATAGAGTCCACCCCATAACTCAGTGTCTCAATAATGGCATCAATATTTTCCTGGGGAGAAATCCTTGCCACCATTCTGCATATAGCATTTCTCTGCTTCCAGCATTCAATTAACTATCTGAACAAAAGCAAACAGCTTAGAAGATAACAGATGAAATAAATTGTGCCAAGTGGACTCTTCCAAGCTGTAGCAGATGAACATGTGCTGGCTTGTTTTTCAGCCTTTTTGGTAAAGCTTTCCCCAACAGACAAATTAAATGTTTAAGCTTTCTACAGCAGTAGTTTCTGAGTGTCTTGATTCCTCTGGAAACCTAAGTATGCAGACCCTCATAGATATGAAATATACGTGGAATCAATTTCTAAAGTAAAGTTTCATCTCCTTGAAGATAAAAGTGTAATATAAACAATTTTTATTCTTGAAAATATTAATGAAAATAATTTCATATGGGGTAGAATTTCCTTTTACTACTCGTGAGTTACCATCTGATTCTGTCACATTAAGGGATAAGTTATGACCATTCCCTCAGCTGCTGCCAGAGTAGAACTGAATTTATAAATATGTATGGACATGTGTCATTTATGCTCATGAGTATCACAACCTCTGAGTACACAGTATTTTGTTATTTGCTACACAAACACATTAGTTTGCACAGAACCACAAGTAAATCCCCACTATACATATATAAGCACCTTCTAAACAAACTTTAGTTGGAAGAAGAAAATCCACTTGTTGAAACTAAAGACAGGGAAGAGTCAGTCATAAACTAGTAAATTTTCTACAGTTGAAATAATATTTTCCATTCAAATGTCTAGAAATCCTACAGGTTCCTACCGAGGGACTTTTATGACAGTAGAAATGTTTGAATTAGAAATAAGAATTAGGACAATGTCAATAGTTTGAACAGAACCAAGATGATTAGATTTCACAAGAAAATTTTCTTTGTGGGACATTAATATCGCTTCAAGGCAAGGTTCATAATAGAATTGACAATGGCCTTTCTAATTGCAGAATTTATATATGTGTCTGATTAAATTTTTTTTCCACCACTCTAACTGATATATCTATTATTAATAAGGCATGAAGGGAATATTGACAGTTTACCAGAGTGATAAAACTCATAAAAATCCTGTCCTGGTAGAAAATGAGAAGAAAATATCTACTGTTAATATATTAGTTTTAGTATCCTATACACAGTTAGTTCAAAGTCAGCTGAAAAATTTGGCAAAAACTTATGGGTCTCCAGCTCTCTTTAATAATCTAGTTAATGGTATTTGTCCTTGTAGCTTGGAAGTCTCATGAGGTGTCAATAATGTCCTAGGGATAAAGTAAAAGTATGTGCTAAGACTGTTTTTATTTCAGACCAGTTAGAGGACTATACCTTTTTACCATTAAAACATACTTTTGTAGTATGAGGAAAAAACATGAGAAGGGCAAGGTATTGTATTGGTGTTTAAAGATGAAAGACTGAGGATCAGATGTACTAAAAGCCAAATTCTATGAAGCTCATAAACATGTGCATAAGAAAATATTTTGAAAGGAACCCAAAAGACTTTCTGACACTTGTTATGATGAGCCTGAGAACAGAAACCAGGCCCGTTCCAGTCCAGTATCTTTTCTATAGAAACAGTTTTCTTATACACATGGAGCAAGGACTAGAGTCGTCTAAAAATTGAATAAATAACTGAATCTATATTAAGCCAGCTTTCAAACCGTCTCGTATTTAGTAGTCTAATCAAATATATAGGATATATTAAATTTAGACACTGCATAGCCCCTGTTTGCTCCATCGTGCACCACTCATTCCCTGCTTTCCCACCCATGACTAGTACAGTCATCCGAAGCATAGTCTGACAAAAACTTCTTCATGCAAACATACATATTCTGTCTCTCATTTTAAGATAACCCCACCTTTTCGTGCGTGGATTTAAAAATAACCAGCATTTCTGAGTCACGCTGAAAACCAATGCAGCAGCTTCCCCTGCTGGCTGCTGAGGAAATGAACCAGCAGACATTCCTCGCCTTTCCTGGTATCGACTTGCCGCTGATGCACAAGGGCCGAGAATTAAGCCGAAGGCAGCTACTTAAGGCTAGTCACATGTCAGCATTTTCACAGGGTAACAGTTCGTCAGTGAATACTGAGATACCTAGTACCTGTCAAAAAAAAAAAAAGGAATAAGTACGCCAGTTAAAATGCTGTTTAGATCGACTCTGAGGAACTCTGTACAGTTGCAGCCATTTTAATATATAGGCTACTTGCATGACGATTTTAGTCCACCAGCACATGCCAGTATATTTTAGCTATGTGGCTAGTTATAACATAGTTGCTTTCTTCTTTTAGAGTCAAAGATATTGTAAAGGTCACTAAAAATATCTGTATGCATTTTTGGGCTTTGCTTCATCAATACAATCTTCTTAATTCCTTCTCAGAGTAATTTTTTTGATATCAAATTACATACTTCCTATCTAAATTAATGCTAATCATACAACATTAGTTGCTGTATAACTTGGAAAGTATAATTGTACCCATGTATGGATAAGTTTTGACATTGCTGTCTGCAAGACAATACCCTCTCAACTATTCTGTGTTCTGTAATAAAACATGTAGCAAATCACCTGTAGGGCAAAAGATAATGGACCCAATGGTGCAAATTGTGATGGTCAAGACTTTCTCATTTAACTTAATGGAAAACTGCAGGAACTTACCAGCCCACAGGAATGGCACTGTATAATATCTCACTCAAGGTCAGGCCAAACATTTCAGATAGACTGGGGGAATTTAGCTGCTATAAAATTTTTGAAGCTTTCTGTAATCATATATTCAGCTATTTATTCCTATTCACTAGGCTAGTAACTGATCATGATTATTCTAGAGGGTCGTTCAATGTTCACTTTGATCAAATAATTACCAAAAACTTTTACTATTAAATTTTATATTTATTAATATATCTTTGTGACCCCATTCATGTAAAACTGCAGAAGATCAGGAGGGAAATGACAGAGACAGTTATCTGAGTTTCCTGCTGATAAAGCAATATAAGGGGAAAATTGCATCTTTCTAATTTTTTTTTAAATATCATTTTTGCTTTACAGTGCTGAACTCCTCTGATGCCTTGTCGCTGGTAATACTATTTCAAAGCTACTTTGGAAGTAGGAAGGTCCTTGTATTCCCCTCCATCAGCCAAAAGCAATGAAGCATTACAATTCTCTGCCCATTCTATTAATAGACTTGCAACTGAAGCAGAAGAAATTCAAGGACTTTTCTTTCCTGACACATTTTACGGTATCTCTAAGCAACATAGCAGAAATCAAGGTACAAAGCTTACATGTAATTTCTGATAAACTAGGACATTTATTTAAGAAGCTGAAAATTGATTACACTTATTTCCTAATTCCTTTGGTAATGTCTAAGAGTAGCGTGGTCTCAAGTATTATAGCATTTCCACATTGCACTAAGTATCCCATTCAGCATTCAGTACCAGAAAAAATATTGCAAGAGCTATTTTCTGCAAAGCTAATGTGGTCATGTTCACACCTAAGTGAAGAGATTTTCTTCTGCAAGAACAAGCAGAGTCAAGTGCTAAGGTATGGATATGGTCTCAAAATATAGCCTGAGAAAGCAGATATAATGTTGGCTTGCCAGCAAAAAGTCTAGTGCAACAAATTTCTTGGGTTTTCTAGTCATTTTTTCTTAGAGATTGTAAGATCTGTGTTTCCTATCTGTATATTAGATATACCTGTCCTTGCCTGTGACAATGATTATGACTTTTTATATTAAAGAATTTCCTGTAGTATTAGGAATCTCCACCCAGGACTTCACTGTAATCCTATATACAACTAAAAATAGCCTTGACACATTCTAATTCATTTTGCTTTTTGACACACCCATTTTTGCCAAGACTAAAATCAGTATCTGCACTTGCTCTCAGATTTTGAGCAAATAAGTACGCTTTCATGTGGCAGAGATTTAGGAGTTTGTTCCATTTCTCTTTCTAGTTAGACATGTCTTTTACAGATAGATTTGGGGGCAACACTTTGGATGACTCCAGAGACTCTTGCTGGTTTCCAACATTCCAAAGGTTTGGAAAGCTTTGTTGCTTTGAAAGTGATGTTATAGATAAAATGTCAGATGAATACTCAATTTTGAAACTGGAATAAATCCACACATTTGTGGATGATCCATGTTTCTGTAAAAATACTGATTTTAGCAATCTGTACAAAATTTGTAGGAATAAATACAATTGCAGTACGAAATAACTTGGAGAAGGTATCAAGAGATCACTTTATAAACATGTCTAAAGTACAGGCAATATTTCAATATCTTTGTAAATGCTCCTTTTTAACAACAAGCTATTCTAATTACACAGCAAAGCAGTCCTCCCACAGTGCTATATGATATACAATAAGCTGAGATTTAACTGAATTCAAATCAAGACTTTCTTTCTTGATGGTATCTTTTTATACATTTTTTCCTTAAGTATCCAGGAAAAAGGTAAACATTTAAGATAAATGTAGTTCTGCAAAGTCTTTAGAAACTATCTGAATTAAACATCAGCATTATTGCAGAGATGTCAGACATCTGTACATTGCTTTTTTCGCTTTGGAAAATGATCCCACTACTTTGTATTAGAAAAGAAAGTACAAAGTATGTTAATATATATTTTATTGTCTTAAACAGCAACTACATCTAAATACTTTAGCTAGGATCTCTGTTTTCAGTGAAGCAAATTTACCTATGTCAATAAAGATATTACACAGTACACTACCAGTTCACTTACAGTTAAGGACCCTTGACAGCTAGAGTCAGTCTTTAAACAAAAAATCTGGCCTTGGATACCCAATTCTCTCATGACAACATTTTAGGAACTTGACAGTGACACTCTATGGATGTAACTAAAGACAAAATTTAACCCCAAAGTGATAGGATGAGTTTCTGGGATTTAACTCCTATTGAAATTAATGAATGTTGTGTGACTAAATCCTTAGGTGAAGCTTGAAAAGTTCAATCACAATGCAGGTACCTAATAGGAAAGTAGCAATCTTACTCTCCATTAAATCAGAGAAAGGTCTCGGCCTCTGTATGGTATTAGTATGTGGACAAATAGGCCTCTGAAACCTGTCTTATCACATATCAGCCGTTCCCTCTTTCATCTCCACATTCCCATTTCAGCTTGCTTTCACAGCTGTCAAGACTCCTGGTCCTGTTTTAATAGTTACAGATATAATAGAGAGATAGTAGTGACTTTCTGGAATAGTACGGAGAGAACAAATGAGATGTGCAAAGTAAGACTTAGCAAGTTTGCCAAGATCTTTTAATGTCTGAGTCACAGATGAGACTACAAAATGAAGAAATGAAACTAAAAATAAAAATATTTAAAAAAAAACCAAGAAAAAAAAGACAGCTAAGTAAGCAGGAAAGAAAAGACATCAAAAAGCTAAAGACCCGTTTCAGTGAAATGTATTCAGTCTGACTGATACTTAGTACATGAGGCAACTGGTCTGGTTGAGGCAGGAAAAAAATAACAGGCAGAAAATTCCAGAAACCCATGCAGAGCAGAAAAAAAAAAAAAAAAAACCACCAAAAATCCCCACACCTCTGGAAAGAGAAAATAAGGCAGAAAATGTCTCTGAGTACCACAAGCCTGTACTAATCATCACCTGAACTTGGTGAGTGCTAGGAGAGTTCTGGTCAAAAATAGGGATCACAGGCAAACGTTACTGAACATCAGATTGAATCCTGGAATTACATATTAGTTGAGGTTGGAAGGGACCTCTGGAATTCATCTTGTCCAACACTCCAGTTCAAGCAGGGCTGTCTAGAGGACTATGTCCAGCAGACAGCAAGTGACAATAAATAATATAATAAAGAGCACAGAGAAAGAAAGGTTAAGTTAAAGTTGCATTTCTTTAAGCTGCAAGCTCAATATCTTAATTTACTAGACTACATTTATTTCTTAGCAAGCTAGTCTCTGAAGGTCCTTCTCATTTTGCTTGCTTTGGAACTCATCAGATATGAACGATTCTCCTTACATGTGTTGAGTTGCATAGATACGTACAAATTCACTTAATTTTAAGGGGCTCAGCATTTAAAACTCACCACCTCTTAGAACTAAGCCAAATTATCCACAACTCAAAAAAGTTCTCTCTGCTGTCTTGTTCTGCTCTCACCCCACTTTTTTTTTTTAGCAATTCCCTTTTGTTTCTAACCTGGAAAACCAGTAGAAGTGACTACAAAATTATAAATACTGTGTTAAATATAAGCTCTTTCCTGTACCACCTTTGGAAGGACAAACTTTTTCGCCCCTGTATTTTCATGCCTACAAAATAGGTCAAAGCATTCAAAGGTAATAATGATTTCTTTTAGGGCTTATTTTTTTTTAAAGAAATGTGTTTAATTTTCAGCCTTATAACTATCCCTAAATGAAGAACAACATTAAAAGTGAACAATTATAAAGCTCAGTCTAATATCAGAAAAATATTTATTTGCTAATTCTGACAGAGAAACAAATTATTCTTTCTTACTAAAAGAAATTGTTTCTCTCACTCTCCTTATAACTCTAGTAGTATAAACAATCCCTCTCCAAGTTTTTCTCTTCCTTGCTGCATTTTGGGCATGACAGCATCCCGGTCTTTCTATATCTCTGTCTCCTTTTTTTTTTACTCTAGGAAAAGCTTCTTCATTTGACAGTCATAGGCATTGTGCTTTGTGCACAGAAGTCAGATCGCCTGGGCAGCAATATTTGCTCTTACTTTTCCCATGAAACAGGCGTACCTTTGAGAAGCAGAACATACTATCGAACATAAGTCCTCCTTTTTGACTTTTGTTTGATCTTGCATGCATAAGTAAGGAACAGTTATTTTCACCAGGCCCTTCTGTAAGAATTTAGGATTCAAAGTATAAACCAGGCCAAACTAACTGAGTCTGATTCAGTATTTGTACACAGAATTTTCGAAAAAAGGTAAGCATTAAAGTATATGAACAATACAAATACTCTGGCCATTTACATTCTCCAGGTATTGTGCTTTTGCTAACTGCCTTTTTAGTTTGAGCACTGAACATTTGGAAACAATTCTGCACCAACTTGTATTTTCCCAGTCCTACTGGTCAAAGGACTATCACTGTACCT